GGTGGTGGTTCTTTAACCCCCCCCCCCCCCAATCTTCCCTTTCAGGCCTGCACCAGTAATTAATTGACCCATGTAAAATGGCTATTATGTCCTGACCAGCAACAGTGAAAAAAAAGCTACTGCATGGCCTTTTAAAATCTTTATCACATACAATGTGGCCATCAAAAGGAAAATATAATAGTGATAAATGATTGGTCAGCAGGTAAAGTTATTTATTATTTATATCAAACACCCCATTTCCATAGATTAGATCGACCTACTTAAGATCGACCTAACTCCCTGGGGGTTCACGCTAAATAGCTGTCAGCCGGGCAGACACGAAAGTTAATTACCCCCTTACAGCTTGTAGTAGGCAGGAAGGACATTTAAGTCGGATTATCTGAAAGTAATCTAGTGAGACTCCCCACGGGGATAGATCGATCTAAAATCTATGGGAATAGAGCCAAAGTCTTTATTGTGGGAACTGAGCATGCATGTGAACACTAGCTTTTTGTACCAGTTTTACATACATGTGCATGCATGCACACACACACTGTAATTCTGTTTGTGTCCTTTGCTGTCTATATACCTGGTATAGAAAAGGCAATGTCTAGAGGATTCTGTAATTCTAAGATAGAAAGGCCAGTCCACATGGCAAGGGTTGTACGTGCCACTTCATCCACTCAAGAAGTTGTAAACTTAATTTTTGATCCACTGCTAAGGACCAGTCAGCGAACATGTAGTCAGTATGGACTGCACAGGGGTGTACGTGTATGCGTACATGTATCAGCACGCGTGGAACTATAGTTATTTGTCCAAGGGGGGGGGGGGGGGGGGGGGGGGCGTAAATCTTGCTTGCCCAGCTACCGTATAATGTAATCCTATGTGGTGTTGCTTGCTCGATGGTGAATGAAAATTTGAAAACTCTTTTACCTACTTCAAGTTCAGCCTTGGCTAGGTCATGGTCAAGACACCTTATTTTTGTTGTTTGATTTCGTCCGCATATTTTTAACAGTTTCGTTTCGATCTACTTGTATTACTGACACACACATGCCTCGTACATCCGCACTGCGCATGCGCCATGAATGGCTTGTTGGACAACCTAAAATTAATTGATCTTTTAAGACCTTTTAGCTTAAAGGTCCGAGGGTTAACCGCGCATTTTCCAATCACTGACGCAAGCATAGTTCCTGTTATTATTGTACTTTTTCAATAAATTCCAGAAATGGAACGTGTGACATAAAGCAGTCGTGAAAAATCTACGTCCATTTTCCGTCTATATAATACTCAAATTGCTGAAATTATTTGTCTCCATGTGAAACAACGTATAAAACTCGAACACGCTTATATCGTGAGCGCAGGAAATTAGAGACCATTCCCACAGAATATCGTACTAACTTTAATTTGGATCGACTATATCACGAAAATTAGCTTGTTTTAAAAATCGCATAAACGTTAACTAAAATGTTATCTTTAGAAAAAGGTTACGCTGTCGCATAACATACCGGACATGTATAGGGCCTACATGTAAATCAGGGGCGGATTTAGGGCGTCTTCTGGGTCTTCTGGAAGACGGTCAGATTTTCAAGTTTACATTGACGGGTGTCTAATTTTTCTGTCGGAAGACGGTCAAAAATGGAGGACGAATCAACAAAGATAATTTGCAAGACTGTCAGAAAATTTCTCTGGATCCGCCCGTCTCGGGACCGATGCTCTTATCCTTGTCGTCTTTGTGGACAAAGTGATATAAAAAACTGGCCACATATCAATTTTTATTTTCAATTTTAGGAGTAATTGTCTTTGTATTTAATTAAAGCTTTGAGTTCTTGAACCACCGCCAGGTTTATATATGTCATACATGTCCCAGTTCAAGCACGGTACGTATTATTGTACTTCACAGAGCAGGGGCGGAGCCAGGATTATTTGAAGGGGGAGGGGGGGGGGGTCCGGAATGACAGGCCTCGGACGCGAAACCGACCAACGCCCCTTTGCTGTGAGGTTCGAGGCCTGCTCGAGGGCCCCGAAAATTTTTTGGTGTTTTGAAGAGCAAACAGTGCCCTTTGGTGCGGTTTAGAACTGTGATTTAGCTAGTCAAAATTCTAATTTCAAGAGGGCCAATATTGGTGTGATATATATTTCAGAAACCGAGGATAGTTCAGGACCCCCCTGACCCCCTTCAATCCGTCACTACAGTTTTTTACGTGACTAGTTTTACAAATGTATGTAACACAGGCCATTATGATGAGCAACAAAATGACACGTATGCGGACATGCAAAGTACAAATATTTGTCACAGGCCTCCAAAGTACACCACAAGCAGAAAACATTAAATGTTTTCTCTAAGATTTTGGCAAGATGGCAATTGTGCGTACTTCCGTTTAACCAGAACTACTGGTGGTAGAACTGACGGAAGTGTTCAGTGGGCCCCAGATCTGAAGGAGAGACGTCCACAGGGGTCACGTGCACCGGACCGCAGGTCGTCGAGGATTACGTTCAGATGCGGCACATGCCATTATAATTCAGTCTGAACACAGGGCGCGTTAGTAGTCTAACATGTTGAAAAGCGCACCTTTTGTACAGTATTTCACGGGTCTCTGACATCAGCGGGTACAAATTATAACACCATACTACATGTATATATGTTCTTGAAGAACGCGAATGCACTGACACACGTACTACATGTAACTTCATGTCCATTGTTGTTTGGCAATATAAGTTTTAAACATAAATACGAACCCATGATAAAGTGATTATTTATTTTCATATTATTTAAATTTAAGTTTCAAACTTAAACATGAACACTAGATGATTCATGGATTTTTTATTTTAAATAATCTTGTTACATCAAAATCATTCAATATATATTACCATCCTGTATTATTTCGCTTGTCATGTTTTCATCAACATAAAGAAATTACATGCAACTAAGAAGTTATCAATCACTATATATATATGTATGTATCATCAACATCAAGACATAATTTAAAGCTAAATGAAGTTTTTTTGCAAAATAATGTCTTTTACCTTTTCTTACACTTAGAGAGTAAACGAGTTTGACATAAAGTATAATATTTTATATTCATCAGTGCACATTGGAAATACTGCTCATTGACAGTGTATAATGGTCTATAATTTATATCCGCTTATATTAATATTGACAAAA